AAATATAATAGTGGTGAAACATGCTTAAGTGGTAAATAACCACAGCGGTGGTACGTGCCCATACAGTGCCCTTTGTGATGGTAAATACCTATCATGATGGTAAACATTGCAGTGTTGATAAATGCATGTAAAGTTTATAAAAAGCCAACATTGGTGGTTCCTGCCTAGAATGATTATCTGTACAACTATTTATTGTCATATGCCATGCTCATTATTGCATAACAAATTTATCTTCACAAAGTGTACAAAAATGTGTCAGGTCAACAAATAGATGTAATTAATATTTTTATTCACCACAACTTATACTGATATGTGTCTCATATGTTATCATTACTGTTTTACCATTTACAACCTCTCTCCAGGTGACTGGCATACATTATTCATTACAATTGTTACTGATACCAGTATTTCCATGGAAGCATAGCACTTTGTGTGAATGTTATTTATTTCCATGTTTAATATTTATACTATTGTCTCCTACCTTTGCGACTGTTTATGGAACGGGTGTCATTATGTTCTTGGTGCTATTTTTATTGCTTGTCAGATATCAAATGCAGTCACATGAAAGGGCGTTTCAACAAACATATCTGAATTATAAATGCATAGCATGAATAATATCTAAAAATACCCAATGTAATAAATGAATACACAATGCCATTTAGAAAGTGGTCAAATGTAACATGTATATTTGGGATTACACTTTGTCAATAAAGTACAGTTCTGTTACTGTTGTTTGTTGAGTCTCATACTGGATTCGAACCCACACTCACAGAGTCAGGGACCTAATCGCCAACACACGAAGTCAGCCATCTAACCCACTCAGTCGCATGGCTTCCACAAACATGGAAGTTGGACAACCCTTCTGATAAGGTGCCTGACTCTGAAGGTTTGGGTTTGAATCCAATATCGAACTCAACCTAACAAAGTACAAGAATCTGAACTTTACTGAAAAAGTGTAATTTTTATTGAGCCCAATCATTGGATGTATACTGAGGGAAACAAATAAGGGAACACATGAAAACGCAAGTGTTGCTTTATTCTTTTCCCGGTTTCTTCACAAGCTTTGTATCGCACTGTGGGTGAGAATCTGAGAATAGATAGAGGAACACTGCAATGAAGTGGTGTTCCCTTATTTGTTTCCTTCAGTATATATAAGGAGGTGAGGTGAAATTGGGTTTAACATCGTGCTTGAGAATATTGCGCTGATATGACAACGTGCATGCGTGTGTATGTGTATGTGCGGCTGCTTGTACTAGCCCAGACTTCAGCTGGTTTTATAGTGCTAGCCCACTGAGATACCATGCCCGCAGTGAAGCATGAATACCCCACTCAGACACATTATACTGACTGAGCCAACCAGTCTTTGTTGTACCCATTAATGTCGAGCACCAGGCAGGGACCAACAAGTACCATATTTTAACGTGTTTTGGTATGACACAGTGGGGGTTCGAACCCACGACCTTCCACTCTCCGGCCGGACGCTCTAACCACTGCACCACGGAGGCGGTCCGTATATATAAGGAAGGCAAGAGGGACAAGGAAAAAGGTTACTACACAGAGAGATGTCTCCACACTGTGACTGTGCAGTTATCTTGTGACATTATCAGCGGAACATTCAATACCTTGATGCCATGCCATTCTGGTAATGATGCCATTAGAGTTTGGGCCAACTCTGGATGTTATTTATATCTGTGGCATTGCTGACATATTTCCTCCTGTAGTAATCAGTGGTAATAATTACCATACATACCTTCTGGTGTCTTGGGTATGACAGAGTGTCTGTTCCAGGCTTCTTTACAAAAATGCTTCAAAGGAAAACACTTTTTCAAATGATGTTGGAATATTGGATATTATATAGGGATAGGTAGGAAAATTATTTTTGAATGAAGTGTCCCTGAGGTTAATCATATAGGAAATTAATATGCAAAGCAAAAAAACACATTTTGAGTAAAGTTCATATTTTTTACCTTACCTACTCATGAACATAACATTCATTTTGTCAACAATGAATCAATTTTCTTCTCACAAGAGGATTTGAGCTAATTTGGTTACAAAGATTGCCATACAGAAAAACACATTTGAAGAGTTACAATGTGTATGTTAAAATGATAACATGTAACTAGTATATAGTTTAACTCAGCTTGCTTTTTTGCCAATATTTTCAAATTTGACCCATGCACACATTTAACATGAATATTCAAGGAACCATTTTGAAAACCCCATGAGTGACTAGTCAGTGAAATATTTCATACTTGGGAGTCATGTAGTCTGGCACCACAAATGTTTGTATACTGGTTGGCCTCAAGATGTTTGATGTCATATATAGAAGATAAAACTCCTCTTTCTAAATTTTTGGTCAATAAATCTTTGTTTGATTTTGGAACCAAGTGGTTCAGCATCATTTAACATCATCATTTGTATGTAAGTGTTGTCCTCTTATCATTAAACCACTCAGCGTAAAGTCCAGGATATCGAAGGGACTTGTCATGGTAGCTTGAACTGATATTAGACCATTAAATTATTTATATAATGTGTCTTGCATGCTGTATTGTTTCATGTTTCTTTGCCTGAAGTATGGCATTTGAGTCAGTTTATCTGAGGCTTAAAGTTAGTCAGTTGTCAAAGAGCACTCAGTCACAAGATTGTTTAGATTGTCAGAAATGCCAGAGGCCAGGTTCGTTTCACATTTGACTTGAAGACTCACTCACTCACTCACTCACTCACTCACTCACTCACTCACTCACTCACTCACTCACTCACTCACTCACTCACTCACTCACTCACTCACTCACTCACTCACTCACTCACTCACTCACTCACTCACTCACTCACTCACTCACTCACTCACTCACAAACAAACAAACAAACAAACAAACAAACAAACAACTATATATATACACTTTAATGACTGTTAACATTTATACCTTATATTTCAGTGCTTCAATCTTTTATAAGAGCCATTCTTTTCTTATTTTGTGGTGAAAAATATCCCTGATAGTACACACATCCATGTAAATATATTCATACAGGTAAGTTACAGTACCTTGACCTTTTTATACCACAGGATCAAACCCAGTCCCTGGTTTGTGTAGTCCCAGCTTGCCTATAGGCAAACATAAGAACTTTAATACCTCTAGTGAGCTCACACCTCAGTCATTCTTTCCCTGAAATAATTTTCCTTTAATTTCACCATGACCATTATTCTGTCCACTTCCCCTAATTGAATTTTCCATTATTAAATTTCATTGAACATTTGCAAATGTAGAAATGTTTCTTTTATCAAAAAAGCGGTTATTTAATGATCTGAAGTTGAAATCAGCATTTTCATGTTCAATGTCAATTTACATTCATTTTTTAATAATTACAAATATTATCCCAAAAAATCTTTAAGCGTAATTGGATTTGGAACCCATGGCTGGAGCTCCTACTGATTGGCAATTAAGGTTTGTCCTGTCATAACTCACTTCTTCGACATCTCTTACACAAAAGCATCAACATGTTTGGGGGAAATTTACATCACGACATTCTATTGTGCATCTCCGAAGTCATGTTTATCTCAATTTTAATTTGTCGTAATGCTGCATTGAAGCATGCATAGTGAAATGTTGTGCAATTCAACTGTGGGGGTGGAATCTTTATTAAGGGCAATTAAATTTGGCATTTGATACTATGCTACCGTTCCCACATCTCGTTGTGAAATATGTACATTGTTTAGTACAAACATTCAATAATTAGGTCTGATTCATGACTGTAAAACCTTAAACTATAATCAAGAGAATATTTTACAAAATTGTGGTAAAGCTTGTTCTGTAGAATTACAAAAAAATACTCATGCATCATTATTGAGGTATTCAAGTTCGTAAGGTGAGTTTGACAGAAAGGTGTAATTGTCATTTTGACTTGACATGAGACTACATCTGTCCCATATGTTCTCGGGTGTCTCATCAATTGGCAGATGAAACAATGAATCCATCTACATATGACAATAAATGTTTATAGTTTTATAGGGTATGTTACAATACCATCTGTATATCAGTAACATTATTGATTAATCTGGAGAATTTAATGCAGTCTTACCTTTTAAATATGTAGATATATGTAAATATATGTTAAATTTAATAAACACCCCAGATGTATGCGACATTTAATTTATGAACATACAGACGAAGGGAAACGTAGCATGTATATTTATAGGAAGGAAGACATTTGTCCTGTTCAAAATATTTATGTGGATGAAAGCTTGTTGACAATGAAATGACAAAATCATATCAAACAAAATTACTGACTTCATAAATAGATGTATGATATATTTTTCTAATTTTACAATATTTCAAATTGTAATCAGGGTAGTATCTACACTTACTTTCATGCAGACATTCATCAAGTCTACAGCAATCAGGGGTGGAAATAACCCATTGCCCGACGTCCCAGTCCAGTGTTTTTTTCTGTCGGGCAAGCAAATTTGTATATCACACTGTACTGGTGTCCAGTTGACTTTCCAATGTTTATTATGTTGTTTATTTAAAAAATCAACAAGAAAATCGGCCAGTATAGTGGGAAAATTATCAGGGCAAGTGATTTTACTTGTGCCACTGTTCCAGAGTACACTAGCAATTTTAAAGTTATGTCCACCCCTGAGCAATGTCAGTAAAGATTTCCAAATTTAATTTCTTAAATCATGCTCTTTCAGTCATAATTAATGTTAAACTTCCTCTAAATTTACGAAAATATGAACTATACTATATCACGATCTGACGCAGTTTGCAAAGGGCACTTTGTTTGAAAACGTATGTAAATCACTGTGACATGCACTCAACATGCATGTGGTTTTGTATCTATAAATAATCTGTTTGTATGTGCTTTTCTAATGTGTCAATAAATATGTAAATTACATTGGGAACACGCCCAGTTTATTGCTGTGTACATGTTAAAAGCCTGAATTAAAAATCGGAGCATACTTCAATCACTGACAGTGGCCACAATGCCTATGAAACCTCAAACAGATCTCCTTGTGTGGGGAAGGCTATAGGCAAATCCCTCGAAGTAAACTGCAGTAAACACAAAGGTGCAGCTTATCACACCCGTGTTGTACATTGAGCGTGAATCCTCCACATGAAAGTCAACACAAGGTATGTATTTCACACCATATGGATCAAAGATTACACGCCTGACTAAAAAAATGATTTTTTAAAAAGAATCATGTCCCGGCTTTCATGTCGAGTGTGTGTATGCGGTGACCAATATATCGTGTGACAGATATGGAGGGAGAAAGGGTTGCTGTACTTTATTATGGAGCACTCTGGTGTTACAGTTCATGGTGCTATCAATCTATGAGGGAGACTGTCACTTCTAGCAGCCTGAATGTCACACCGAGAAAAGTCGATCCAAAATGTCTGTACTGGAAGCTGGGTGCTATAATGGGGTGTTGTTGTAATGTTGAAATGAAGGTATTCACCAGCAGTGGCAGCAAGAAGCTGTCCTGTATGCAAACAGCGTGGACATTCACAACGTTAATGTATTTTCAAATGTCGAAGGGACGAATGTAATGTCTTCAGAACGTGCTAATGCTTTGATAGAAGAGTCTCAGCCAGGCAGAGGGTAAACTTAATGTGTGTTTAGCGTGGAATGGATCATACGGCTACAAAACTTCCCCACCACTCTCCACCGTATCCCAGCTAACGCAATGAATCGGACCTAGATTGACAGACTCCCTGCTTCAATATAGGGAGGGAAGTTGTGATTTCAAATATCACTGGGGTTCCTCAATATCCCCACTGATAGGATGAAATAGGATACAAAGAGACTCCATTTTCCAGAGGTTGAAGGGTGTTTGTGTATTTTACTGATATTTTGTGTTAAGTTACTGAGCGTTTCAAGCTTTGGCTTCTTCAGGCCTGGTTGTGTCCTATAAACTGTCCAGCTCACTGATGCTTTCAATAATGATAGCAGTTCATATATAAATTTAAAATTGCTATCAATATTTGTAACATGTTTTCTGATCTAATCAATGATAGTAATGTGCTTTTATGACATATTTTGTGATGAAATATTACTTTCAAGATTCATTAGAGCCTACACTTATATGACAATTAATAATATATGTTACTTGTAATTGTCCTACATAGCCGCTGTTGTGAAAAGGTGTTCCATGACAAAGTGGGTAGATTATCATGAAAATATCCCTTTTAAGTTTATCTTGTTAAGATTAACTTTACCTCTGCAGTAGAAACATGAAAGTGGAACGACTCAGCGTTTATCTTCACTGTTGTATATTGTATCAAACTGTTGATAGGATACAACTTAAATCAGATATATCAATGGTTATAACCAATTTATGATCATACAAAATTGCCTGAATGTTTACAGTAATCCTGTCCCTGTGCCTCGGCCCTGATTTATTGTACCCATAAATCCCTGCAATCCACCCCCATTACTAGGAATTTGTCCCCACCCACTGTTATGCCTGTAGAATGTGTGTGGAGCGAGGAGAGGCTTGTACGTTTCAACAGCGAGAGTGGGTACATTGATACACAGCAGAGGAGGCTTGCCACCGGCTAATGATATTTACCCCTGTGAGGTTATTTAATTGTCCGTCTTCTTCCAGGTGAGCTGGTTGGCCGACTATGACGAGGAGTGTTGAGATGAGAGGATCGGAACTCTACTCGGGATGATCGGCGTTGGACAGGCGTCGGGACAGACTTATTCAGGTTCAGTCTCGTGCTCGGCAGACGGGACACATAATGAAGTGAACCGACTCAGTGGATTGATTATTACCTGTGTGTTGGATTAATACGAGAACCAATGTGATTATAAGGCACAGCGGCTTAGATCTTTCGTAAACTGATGTTTGACAAGTGATACGATCAGTGGCTCGTGATTAGTTTGGAAGGGGACGGCAGCTATGATGTTGCTGATCTGAAGAGTTACAGATGATGATAAGTGTGTGGTATTTCAGGGCCACAAAGTAACTGCTTTCATTAAAAAAGATAGGAATCTGTCATCAGAGCCTTGAAAACCATCCACGGTTGGTTGAAAATTTGAATGCACTGAGCTGTAGTCGTGACGCAGCGCAAACGTGGAGGAGAAAGGAGTTGTTGTGTACGGTGAAGGGATTATTGTTCGTTATTTTGTACAAGTTGTGATCAACAGTGTGATCGGTGGAGTTACAACTCAACAACTGTTACAACAACTGGACTCCTGATATAGACGTGAGTATAAGACTTACAGCTATCACAAGCTGCTAAACAAGTAGAACACTTTCTGTTATGTTTTAAGATATGGTTGGAACAATGCATGTCTCTGTAACTATAATGTCAAAAACATTATAACGATAAGCTCTGTTTTTTTATAAATTTACAAACATAAGACTAGCTATAAAAAAATCATAAAAATTTACTTCATTATTATAAACAATACTGAATATGTTGTATAATAATGCCATTATTTGAAAATATATAAGCAAGAAAGTTTGATAATATCAAACCAATTATGTACTATGACATCTTATTTTAAATAGCATTCCCATGTTACAACTGTTGTGATGGTAGTAGTATCATTGAAGTGAAATACTTCCAAGTGTGTATAACTCCCTGCGCACCTCTCTCGTGTGATGATAACACACAGTTTTACAATTGTACCTGACACCGGTATAAGGACAGGCTGTCACAGTAGTGTTGTTGTCAGTCTTTGGTTACTGCTGATCAAACCCACCATAGCTCTCGGATTGAAACCATTGATCATCAGCGGTTGCCGGAAGACGATCGGTAAGCATGCCTTCTCACACACATGCTTAGCCGTGTTAAAGGGGCTGGAAGACGTGTGCAGCTCGCAGAGTGAGTTGACATAATCAATATTGGAGAGTTATTGATACATGAGTGTTGGTGTGAAGGTATGTGCAAGTTGGGGAGGATGTAGGTACTCCTGGTTGTATATGCTCCACGGTAAGTGTCAGCTTCGGGTACGGAGGATGGGGAGGTCTAGGAATGGGGTCTAGGTTAGTGACATCTGCTTCAGATTAAGCTCGGGGTAATTACTGTAGTGTGTTCTGTCATTGTAGACAGTGGTCTTGAATACAACACCACTACTTAATTCACACTGGATATTGTTTCAGAAATGAATCTGTATGTATTTTTATTGAAACCATAGTAATTAATGGCATGTTTACGATCCAAGTGATGATCAATATAGAAGTGTAGTTTCAGTTTTCCTAAATACAATGTGAGGAAACAATTGTGATAGCCTTTGTTCCAGTTCATTTATCAGCTAAGATCCTATATGTTTGTAAATATATGATGAAAATAGTTATCTATATCTGTCATAGCCTTTTTTCAAGTTCATTTATCAGCTAACATCATAATGTTTGTAAATATATGATGAAAATAGTTATCTATATCTGTTATAGAGTTTGTTCCAGTTCATTTATCAGCTAAGATCCTATATGTTTGTAAATATATGATGAAAATAGTTATCTATATCTGTTATAGCCTTTGTTCCAATTCATTTATCTACAAACTTAATACGCCTTACATTTATTAATATATGATGAAAATAGTTATCTATATCTGTTATAACTTCTGTTCCAATTCATTTATCAGCATAATTTAGATGCTTTATGGTTGTAGATATAGGATGAAAATAGTATCTATAGATGCTATAGCCTTTGATCCAATTCATTTATCAATATATTTAAGATACTTTATGTTTGTAAATATATGATGAAAACAGTTATCTATATCTGTTATAGCTTCTGTTCCAATTCATTTATCAACTTAATCAATGTGCCATATATTTGTAAATATATGATGAAAATAACCATCTATATCCATTATAGACTCTGTTCCAATTCAATTATCAACATAATTAATACACCTTATGTATTTAAATATATAATGAAAATAGCCATCTATGTCTGTTATAGCTTCTGTTCCAATTCATTTATCAACTTAATTAATACGCCTTATGTTTGTAAATATATGATGAAAATAGTCATCAGGGTATTGATGTGTTCGGAGGAAGTAAATATGGTTGGAAGTTGCGATGGTGAGAAATGTAAACTTGAGTCTGATTACTAGGATTAGTTTGAGTTTGTGTCGGTTTGTAGGAAGTATTGATGGCTTGTCAGTGATTGGTCTTGTATGTTACAGAGAAGGAGTGCAGAGACCTCCTTCAGCCTGGATTACACCACAATCAACTAATAGTCCATGGAATACCACCAGCACAAAATGAAAGAGTTAAACTCGTGTGGAGCAGAAAATCTCAAGGTACATCGATCTGTTGCTGCAATCAACCGACGTAATTTGGAACAGTTTCTTGTTTGCTGATGTGCAAAAAATCAGATCATTTGCAATTTCGGGAGTTGAAATAGCCGTTTTGAAGGTGCTGATGACTGGAATCGGTTCGAGTGGTCAAGAATAATATATCAATTTCGCCGTGACAGTTAATGTGAATTGTTGTATGTAGTAGACGCCGTTTGTGACAGGGAGGCAAGTCTAGCAAGTTATTCACAAGTGTATGTCGGACGCAGGAATTTTCGACCAATGACTAGGATCCACTAATGAGCTTTTAAGCCATCAGCCTACAACTTAATGGAGAGTTAATAATACTAATGTTATACCAATAATGGCACCGGTGAAAAAGGTGTCTGTGAAAGCTTGGTTCCAGGATATGTTCTCTATCGTGCTATAATGGTCAGTTGGCGGATACGGATATTACCTTTGGACGTTCTGGTCAGTCTGGCGGCGCTATCATTGGTAGCCACAGGTAGGTGACGCATAGCATCACACTGATACACCGACTCTAATCAAATGGATGCCTTCAGCAAACAGCATCCCCGAGTACACACTCTTCTTTAACCTTTGAGCTCTGTTCTTGCAACACAAACATGATATATTCAATAACTTTGGCACCAATTAGGCTATGCATGGGTAGTGTTTGGTCAATCCTTCTTCAGGCAACCTGGTAGCAATTTCTGTAGAGAACAAAGTAGATTGTCAGTGCTGTCTGTGGCAGTAACAAATAACCATTCCTTAAAGGTACATGATCACAGGTACGGTATCTTTATAGGTTTTTAATCTGGGCTATATAGATATGGGAAAACCAATACCCAATTAGGACATTTATGGCACTGCTCTATACAGAGGTATCATGTTAGCTAAAGGGTGCTTGCATCATAAATAATAGTTAATAACATATTGATTTTACTGTTCCCAGGATAAACTATGAAAAACTCATATCTACGTAAAAATGATACATTGCTCAAAGGATCAAGACCGGATTCAGCTGTTTTAACAAGCTCTAAGTGCATGACAGTTTTTCTACACTATCAATGTAGATAGTTGAGTGAATGAGGCATCCCTGTAATGAACATGCAGAAATACACATGCACAAATGTGACATCTCAGTTGTTTGTGATTGTCCCTGCTTTGGGGAATATCTCCAACTAATAGGTTCTACAGTATATTTGTTATTTTAAAACCAAAAGATGATATGTGCAATAAGAATATTGTAGTATTTTCTCCATATGCAAAAATATTCAATACCGTTTTATCTGCAGGAAAAATTTGTTCACATGCCCAAGCCTTAAGCATTATAATATTCAAAAGAAGTTTACTTAGTTTTGAATTACAATATCAAGATTGATGACAAGGAATATCGTGGATAATAACTTCTTTATTACACATAGTCAGTGTTTTAGGGCTACTTCCTGTCTCTTCATAACCTTTATAATTAGATCCAACTTCTAAATGCCTATAAAGACTCAATGTCAATATTATTTTATTCTCAGAGTGGTTATCAAACTTTCTAACTTGTCATGACGGACAAATAAAGAAAGATTGGTTGTTCATAATAGCCACATAGCATCCATTTTTGGTGATGGATGTTTATTTAAAAGTTCACATCCAAATCTCAGCGTGGACACAGATTTGTTGCTATGATTCATCTGTTATGCCAAGAGAATCTGTTTCGTCTGATAATCCAGACTGGTTATTCTCTGTCCTTGAATTTCATATTTAGTTGTTGGGCAGTTGTATTTAAATATATTTCCCACCAAAATTGTAAGAAACTCGGTGAGTGAGTGAGTAAGTTTAGCCTTACACCTCTTTTAGCAATATTCCAGCAATATCGCAGCAGAGGACACCAGAAATGGGCTTCAGACATTGTACCCATGCGGGGAATTAAACCCGGGTCTTCGGTGTAACCTCTAGGCTACCCACCACCCTAAGAAACACGGCAAAAGTCTCCTGTGTTGCATGTTTTGCAACTGTGTTATAAATTGTAAGGTTTTAAAAAGACACAGAAAGTCATGTTTGTTATGCATGTCACTTCATGTCACTGTGTTATTGAATCATAAAGTTAGTACAAAAAGTGGATTGGTTAGGGAACAGAAACCAGTCACTTTTCATTTTTACAGTGCCTGTGAAATGTGTGATGTATTAAATTGTGAAGCTTGTACAAAAGAAGGATTGATTAATAACAAAACCCAGAACATTTCCATTTCTTTTGCTACCTCTGAAATGTGTGATATAATAGATTATAAAGTTGGTGCAAAGGAAGGATTGGTTAGTGACAAAACCAGAACAGTTTCCTTTTCTTTGCTATCTGTGAAATGTGTGACTTAATAAATTGGGACATTGGTGCAAATGAAAGAATGGTTAAGGATTGGTTACTTTGATTGAACCAGAACAGTTTTCTTTTCTTTGAGACCTGTGAAATGTGTGAGTTAATACATCATAAAGTTGGTACAGTGGAAGGATTGGCTATGAACAAAACCAGAACAATTTCCTTTCTTTTGCTGCGCGTGAAATGTGCGATTTAACAAATTATGAAGTTGGTACCAAGGAAGGATTGGTTACATTGATTGAACCAGAACAGTTGTTTTTTTCTTTGATACCTGTGAAATGTGTGAGTTAATACATCATAAAGTTGGTACAGTGGAAGGATTGGTTATGAACAAAACCAGAACAATTTCCTTTCTTTTGCTACGCGTGAAATGTGCGATTTAACAAATTATGAAGTTGGTACCAAGGAAGGATTGGTTACATTGATTGAACCAGAACAGTTGTTGGTTTTTTTTATACCTGTGAAATGTGTGAGTTAATACATCATAAAGTTGATGCAGTGGAAGGATTGGCTATGAACAAATCCAGAACAATTTCCTTTCTTTTGCTACGTGTGAAATGTGATGTTGGTGCAAAGGAAGGATTGGTTACGTTGATTGAACCAGAGCAGTTTTCTTTTGTATGCTACCTGTGAAATCTGTGATTCAGCTTGACATTTCATGCCGGTGATATCAATCAATACTATAACTAATGGCTGAAGCATGTTGCCATATTCAAACCCAGTTGTGCATCACTCAAACTGGCGTAATGTAGATAGTACTACTGACTGAAAAACACATTCATACAATCACAGAGTTATATATTTCATTGTTTATTCACGATAGATAACTGAATGGAAAACACTGATTTTTTTAACAGACCTGTCTCATTTATAAACATTCAAATAAATGTTTAATCACTCTCCTGAATTCACTTCTCTCATTCTGTTATGAATCCTTCTGTCTATAGACGGAGTATGTTGTCTCGGTCTCGTACTAATCGCAATAATGTAACCCAAAGGTCTGGCATTGTTTCACCAGCTGATCATAAATCTGTCGATGCCAACATCCAATCACAGGAATACATCTTGTCCCGAGACATGCTGAAGTACAAATACTGTTCATTTGGTGCCGTATTGGCTTAGCTTTAGATCCTCCGTGAGAGCATATATGATACACATTTCTGAAAATTGAAGATGAAATATTGATCCTGTGGTCATGCATATTTAAGCATCTGTTTGTATGAATGTGTGATTCCAGATCAGGTTTTGTACTGTACAATGAGAGATGCTGTGTCAATGTACATTGTACTGTATCCATATTTGGATTTACTATCGTGGCAGATAAGAGGCAGCCTTTTTGGTTCAGTCTGCCCAGCAAGGTTAGCTGGTTAAAGTAAATAGGGCTATTTGCTGCAGGCACTTTGGTTGATGCGGTTTGGTCCTCAAAGCCGGTTTGTTATATTTTCGTTGCTTTAGGTGTTGACAAAACCATTATCTTTGATGCTGTAGGATCATGTAGCGTCATGTTCTGTTGATTACCTAATGGGTAAAGTGAGTGGGAAAATTTGAACAATGTGGGGACTATCAGTGACCTTTGATTTTATGCTGAAACCAGGTCTGAGAGTAACTTCATTCATAAATTGTATCTGAGATATTGGCCGGATGTATCAGTTGATTGATGAGGACCATCGGCCTACTGCTTGCTTGCTCGCTCGCTCGCTCGCTCTCTCTCACTCGCTCTCTCACTGGCTCACTCGCTCACTCTCTCTCGCTCACTCACTCTCTCACTCACTCACTCACTCACTCACTCACTCACTCACTCACTCACTCACTCACTCACTCACTCACTCACTCACACACTCACTCCTGGCCAAAGGTCCCATCTACAACACAAGGTAGTTGATGCATTGGCAGAAAAAACAAAGAAGTGCTGTCTCATCGGTTTCCAAATGCGCAGATCGATGCTCATGCTGTTGATCACTCGATTGTCTGGTCGAGACTCGATTATTTACACACCGCCGCCATATGGCTGGAATATTGCTGAATGCGACATAAAACTAAACTCACTCACTCACTCATTGTTTCTGAATCTAAAAGTAATAATAATAATAATAATTCTAATTTTTTGCGACTAGAATCAAATGCAATGCTGTTCTCTGGCGTTACATTATTACACTGACGGAATTGCACTTTCAAAGCAGCTACTAAGCCAAGTGCGACCGTATAGGTCCGTACATCAGCTTCTCAGGTACCCAATTTAAACAGGTTGGTGGACTGAGTGCAATGTGGATGAAGTGCCTTGCCCAGGGACACAACACAGTATGAGACCCAGGTCACAAATTTTGGTGTCTTTACCAGGATTCGAACCTGGGCCTGTGGTGTGAGAGGCCAGCATGCTAACCACTACACCACTGTGCTCCACAGTATATCTTAAATATGTCTAGTCATTCAAGACTTACTAATACCATAGCGTCATGATATCGGTGAACAGAGCATTGCATGCAAGTGACAATGCCCTTGAGCTCTAGGTGAAAAAAGCAAAGGTATAATCAGTTCATAATTAGATCTTCCCATCAAGCTTCTGGGGTTTAATAGACCCCCAGTAACCTATACCCTTAAGAGGTTACAATCTGACCTGGAGGTCAGGCTTCATGGCATAGTTGAATATACCAAACTAATTTCAGAGGATTATCTACATGGTCAAGTAGATACACTATCTGCCTGGTGAGTGGACAGTGAGAGAAGTGGTAAGGTCTGCAGCAGGTCAAAGATGTTAAAGAATGGTACTTGTTGTTACCTAGCCTGGCACTCCACATTCAGGTGATAAAGTGTCTGTAAACTCAGTTTATACAGGGGTGGTGGGGTAACCTAGTGGTTAAAGTGTTTGCTCATCACACTGAAGACCAAGGTTCGATTCCCTCCTTGGGTACAAGGTGTAAAGCCTATTTCTGGTGTTCCCTGCCGTGATATGGCTGGAATATTGCTAAAAGAGGCGTAAAACTACACTCACTCAGTCATTCAGTTTATACAGATTCCAGTTGGTAAGGAGTGATGCCTTGCAAGTTACTTCAATGCTAATGGTTTCATTGCAGACTTCATAATTGCTGCTTCAATTTTCATCACAGACAGAACTCCCAGAACTAAAACCAAACAACCAGGCA